TCAAATGGCCACTCCTTTTTCCTCCCTCTGAGGGAGGGAGTCACTCAATTACTTACTCTGGAATGAGAGCGAGAACCATGGTCTAATCTTAGAGCAGATCCATGAGATTCTTCCTACAAGGAGCAATAACTTCCTAACTGATTTCTGGAAATTGTAGAAGGAGCCCATTGCTCACAGGTTTCTACCTTGACAAGGTCAAGATCTTCTGAAGAACCCTCAAGAAACAATATAAAAGTCAACATTGGAAGCCTAGTCTCACCATCACCCATCATCAGAGGTTGAAACAAGAAAACAGGAGACAAATCAAACATACGCAGTGCATTACCTGGGCAAGGCTTTTGATCAGCTGCAGATCGGCTGGGGAATGTTGTTATATGTGAACAAACCCATTTTTAGGAAAACTTTAAGAGTTTACAATAAGCTCTTTAGATAAACTTTGAAGAGCCAGTTATCCAGTCCATGAGAAGGAAACTATTACCATCAGTTTAGGCTGGGGTATAGTGGGCAAAATAAGAGGTCCTATTAAGGAACAATCTATTGGTACATCTTCAAGATAGTGGAGGATTTTATTTAAGAGAATGGAGGAGCTAGGGTGAAGAAGCCAACATCACTTTTCCAAGATGCAACTTATTTGGAACAAGATTTAAAATCTCAATTTATACTGGTTTCCCAAGTTACACTCCTTACCTTTAATTACAAGGACTAGTCAAGGGCAGATAAGCAATGCCGATATCAATATTCATTATTTGTTTATTTGAGCTACCTTTATATGATACTAGCTGGACGCCTGTGCTTCGCTACAAAACTATGTGATCGGGCTTGATAAATTGACACTTAAAGCCTGAAACTTAATGTAGAATGTGTAACTCCGTAGCATCAGAGCGTGTTAATATAAGGCAACTGGCAGTTGGAACAGAGGGGGAGGGGGAGTAGAATGTCCCAGCCCGCAGGCCCGCTGGCCACACCCATGCCTAGTTTAGCGAAGGGGTAGCAGCAGAGTGTGTTAATATAAAACAACTGGCAGTTGGAACAGAGTTCTTTTCAGGTGGGGAGGGGGAGTAGAACATCTAACGCCATAGCATTGGAGAGAGTGAATATAATACTGTATATGAAATACTAATGATCATTTCAAAACATCCTTTCTTAGCCAAGAGGAACATACGTTCTAAATTTCATGTTTGTAGGCTTTACCGTTCGGGAGATTTCGTGATGAGTGAGTGGTATTTGGCTTTTATAAATATAGATAAGATATATATCTAATGTTCCTGCCTCCTATTTTCCTCACAATAACCAATAATCCTTGACATGGGTTGGGTTGAGAGAGAGAGTGACTGACCCAAGGTCACCATCTCAGCCTTCACACCAAAGGGAGGAATAGAATTCATGGTCTCCTGATTTCTAGTCCAGCACTTCAGACACTTCTCCCATTTGGCTTTCTTCTACATTGGAAGGCAGAAGAGTAGGATTAAGGAACTATATGGATACAAATGGATTTATTTTGTCTTTCTCACTTTGGGCTTTATTCCACCCAAATTCATTATTTGGGACCATAATTGGTTTTGTTTAGAAAAGGCTTTGGAACAAAGATCAACAAATTGGATTCAGATATTGACATGAAATCCGAGCTGTCTTCTTTTACAGCTTAGGTTTTTTTGCCCCAAAGTAATAAAGCTGGATGGAAAATTCCATAGCAGCTTATTATAGCATTTTAAGGTGGTAGGTGATAATGTAATCATTTCTGTCTATCTATCTTCTCCCTCCCTCCCTCCCTCCCTCCCTCCCTCCCTCCCTCCCTCCCTCCCTCTCTCCCATCTATCTGAAAAAGAGAATGGTAAATTTTACTTATTTGTGGAAAGAACTTATACGGAGACTGAACCACACCAATTGCTAGTTATAAGCAACACAATAATTTTCAGTAAGAATATCTTGTAAAGCAGGGGTGAAATCCAGCAGGTTCTAACAGGTTCTGGAGAACCGGTAGCGGAAATTTTGAGTAGTTCGGAGAACCGGCAAATGCCACCTCTGGCTGAGTGGGGAATCCTTCCCCTGGAGTGGAGTGGGAATGGAGATTTTGCAATATCCTTCCCCCCTGGAGTGGGGAGGGAATGGGGATTTTGCAGTATCCTTCCCTTGGAGTGGGGAGGGAATGGGGATTTTACAGTATCCTTCCCCTGGAGTGGGGTGGGAATGGAGATTTTGCAATATCTTCCCCCTGGAGTGGGAAGGGAATGGGGATTTTGCAGTATCCTTCCCCTGCCACACCCACCAAGCCATGCCACGTCCACCAAGCCACGCCCACAGAACCGGTAGTAAAAAAATTTCTATTTCACCACTGTTGTAAAGAAATATTTATTTCCACTATAGTAGCTTGTTTTCTTTTACATTCAATCATAGGCCATACAATATAAACGACTTTGGAATGAAAGTTACATCACAGGGTGTCAACGTGAAACACACCCAAAGTCCAAAGCTAACAAAAGGATCAGCTGTTGGTTCACCTAATGCGGCATTCATTTCCTATTCCTAAGTGCCAGGTCAAAACATAACAGGAAGTGTTCATGGAAAAGCAGTTATATTTTCCTCTTTGGCCTAGTAGCACTGAGGATGTGAACACAGTGGACAGTGACATAAACACATAATAGTATCATTTATAGCATAGGGCAGCATCTGGTGAATTTGGCAAATCTCCCTAAAGACAAGGAGGATTGGCCCTTGTGGGTACCTGGATGGAAAAGTACTAGAAAAGTCCAGGATTGCATCCCAGAGGAAAGGCTAAACTACAAATTTGGGGGGGGGGGGATCCAACCCAGGAAAAAAGGCAATAGGAACCCATCTACAGGTTCTATACGATGGATGAATATGTGTTGACCTCAACACGGATCTGACCATCAAAAAAAAGAAAGAAAGAAAGAAATATAAACATTCCTTGTGTCAGCACGTCAAGATGCATTTATCCTAGTGCTGACATAAGAAGGAGAACGCAAGTGTCTGCAACGGGACGGTTGCCTTTCACCTACTTATTTTAGCTGGAGATAATGTCCCCTAGGAGATGGATGGGAGGGGGGAAATTCTTTGAATTGGAGCAGTAGATTAGGGGTGAATGATTGGGAAGATGGCCAATGAATGCAGAGGAGTGGGGGAAGGAAGAGGAGGGATTTTGGGTCAGCACGTCAGTGCTGGCTGCATGGAGTCAGTGTAAAAGTTGCCGTGCTAAATAAAATGGAAGTTTGTTTCAAAAAAGACTTTGTTTGAGATGCAATTTATTTGAAGACGGCCTGAAAACCTGACACCTTCAACATTAAAAATGGTATTAGAAGAGGAGTTTTCTGAATTTAGGCTGAATGTACTGTACCCCAAAAATAAGACCTTATATTTTTTTTGAACCCTGAAATAAGCACTTGGCTTTATTTATTTGTTTGTTTGTTTGTTTGTTTGTCCAATTTATATGCAGCCCTTCTCCGTAGACTCAGGGCGGCTTACAATGCATTATAGAAATAGCCTGCATACTTTTTTATGTATATACCTGCTTATTAGGGCTTTCGGCCCCCCCCTAAACTGACTTATTGCCCCCACAATCCGGGTCCTCAATTTATCTACCTCGAAAGGATGGAAGGCTGAGTCAACCTTGAGCCTGGTGAGATTTGAACTCGCACTAATTGCAGGCAGCTGACAGCTAAGTGCTAGCACTTAACAGCACTTAGTCCGCTGCACCATGTGTTCAAAAGCCCGACTGGGCTTATTATCAGGGGATGTCTTATTTTGGGGGAAACAGGGTATTGAATACATTTCATTCAGTGTGTATTTTATATATACATATATGAGGGGTCCTTGATGATCTCTGAACTTGCTTGTTTATTTGCAGATGTTTCATTACCATATGAGGTAACATCATCAGTGCTAGTAAGGAGTGATGTTTACTGTCAGTTTATGTTCTGGTGACTTGCCTGTCTATGTGGGTGTGGGGGCAGTCTTAGAGATTCTTTGGTTGGGCTGTTTACTGATGGCTCTTTGGCAGTTTCCTGATTGGGGTATTGCTTACTTGATTGTTGGTCTGGAGTTAACCTTGGAGTTAATCTATGCCTGTGATGGCGAACCTATGGCATGCATGCCAGAGATGGCATGCAGAGCCCTCTCTGAGGGCACGCGCACAGTTTCCAGCTGCTCTTCCGGGTTCCGTCGCGCGCATGCACACCCATACCCTCCAGCTACTCTCTTCCGGGTTCCGGCACTTTGGCACGCACACGCTCCAATTTCGGCACTCAGTGCCGAAAAGGTTAACCATCACTGATCTATGCTTATCTGAGTGCTGATTACTGGTGGAGAGGTGCTGGGGTCTTTTTCTCTTTTGGGCTGATTGATAGTCTGTTTTGCATAGTCTATAGATTAATGATGGCTAACCTTTTTGCCGTCACATGCCAAAAGCGGGGGAGTGGGGGGCGGGTCACGCATGTGCGTGGCCACACCCATAATTCAATGCGCCCTGCCCCGCAGTGGCCCGGTAGGCCCATTTTTTTTTGCCCTCCCCAGGCTCCAGAGGCTTTCTTGGAGCCTGGGGAGAGCAAAAACGGCCTCACCCCTCCCGGAGGCCGGAAACAGCCCATTTGCCGACTTCCAGTAGGACCGGAAGGCCCATTTTTCACTCTCCCCAAGCTCCAGAAGCTTTCTAGGAGCCTGGGGAGGGCAAAAATGACCTTCCCCACCCCCCCAGAGGCCCTCCGGAAGCTGGAAAAGGCCCGTTTCCTGACTTCCGATGGGACCGGAAGGCCCAAAAACCAGCTGGCTAGTGCACACATGCGCGTCGGACCTGAGCTAGGGCAACGCTCACGTGCCTAGTGATATGGTTCCACATGCCACCTGTGGCACACGTGCCATAGGTTCACCATCACGACTATAGATGTTCTTAATGTCTCTATGTCTATTGATGGCTGAATTTAATTGTACATAGTACACCTTATACACCCCAGGCCTCTGCTAAGGCATTGATCCACTCCAGTGCTTACCCTCAAATCAGGAGAAAAGTTTTCGGTAGAGGTGGAGATAGAATCTGATGAGATGACCGAAGCTGATTTGGTATGCGCTGAGTGATCCGAATGAGAGGTAGAAGCACTAGAGAAACAAGGATGAGAAAAAGAAGAAAAATCTAGAAACCATCTTTTGATTGATTAGAGTTGCATAGATTAAAAAAAAACCCTTTATCGGCTTATCTTACCTGATCCAGCTTTCACCTTAAAGCTTTAACCTATGAAAAATTATCCTTGAAATGACATCCATTGTTGTGACATAGGCCCAAGTAGTTATTACCAGACACAATCAGTCCTAAACAAACATATTTTATTAGAACAGCTGAGAATTACTTCATTCTCAGATTAGTCCAAATTAAATCCAAAACAAGTCCTTCAGAAAAAATTCTTCGGCCTTATCACAAACCTTTGTCTTCTTTGGAACCCTGCCAAAGGCTTTTCTTGGCAAAGCCCCACGAGACGAAACAAATATAGCAACTTCGCTTTCCTACAAAGAGCCCAAGAGCTGTTGCTGCTCTTTTAAGCCTTATGGGAGGGCCAATCATCGCCTGGCCTTACTCCCGAGTCGTCCTTTTTGCTTTAGCTGCTCTTGCCTTCTGGCAGCTCTTCGCATGCGTGCACTAGGAGTCTCCAGAGAGTCTCCAGAGTCCGCGCATCGCCCCCGATGGCCCTGGCCCCAACTCTGCCTCTGACGCAGAGCCCTCGTCCGGGCCTTCCACAGACTCCATGACTGGCCCATGTTCCTCCCCAGCCTCCTCACTGTCCAACTCCACTGCCAACTCCGCAAGCTGCTGGCAGATCACAACAGATGGTGGAGAATGGAAGGATTTATACTCCTTGCAGACAGCTGGTCATTTTCATTCTTTTAGCGAGTTGTTGAGGCCACTTGGAGGTTTACCTGTGTCCTCAGGATCACTTGAGTAGTGCAATCGGGTGTGGAACCTTCTTGGAACTGCTGAAAGGACTGTGAAGTTCAAGTAGTCTCCACATCCATTTGCACTACTCAGGTGACTTTGAGAACACAAATAAACCTCCAAGTGGCCTCAACAACTGTCTAAATAGAATGCAAATGACCAGCTGTCTGCAAGGAGTGTAAGTCCTTCCATTCCCCATCATCCATTCAGAGCTGAAGAGGTTTCTTGGATGAAAAGTGAAACAGCTTCAAAGAAAAAACAGAAAGTCCATTTGCCTCTTGAAAAAGCACCTTTGGGACAACCATGACCTGGTTGAATGAGAATCTCTATGGACATTATTTGCATTTTCCCCCCAACAATCTGGGTCCTGGATGCAATTATGATACTCATTGGACAAAAAAAAAAAACCTCAATTGAACTATCCTATTCAAGCACATTAAATTAATTAGTCTCTCATAAGCACAGCCCAACCTGTAGCGAACTTCTTGTAGCAGTATCAGAATGGATTAGCTGATGGTCTTTGAAGTCCTGTCTAGATCTCACCATTCAACTCTTCCATATCTTTGCTTACGAGAGGAGAAAGCAAACGTTCAGATGTTGCTGAATTACAGTTATCAGTATCCCTCCTTACTCCCACCATGGGGATTCTGCGACCGTCATAAGTGTGAAAAACCATAATAAATCACTTTTTTTCAGCACCATTAAATGGCCAGTCAATGAACAGTTGTAAGTCGAGAACTACCTGTATTGCCATCGAGTGAGCTTTTTCTAAAACCAACCACATTTTTAAAAAAAAATAATTTTGGAAACCTTATATTGGCTCTTTGCTGAAATAAGTGTTGTACCTTATCATTAAGTGTTGTACTTTATGATTCTTGATGAACGTATCTTTTCTTTTATGTACACTGAGGGCATATGCACCAAGACAAATTCCTCGTGTGTCCAATCACACTTGGCCAATAAAAAATTCTATTCTATTCTAAGAGAAAAATGAATCAGGGTGGATAAAAATCAATGATTTTTTTAAAAAAATCAAAAAAATCAGATTTTTTTTATTTAAATCGGATTTTTTTGATTTTTATTGAATTTATTTTAATAAAAAACTTTTGGGGTAAAAATCTATCGTAAGACAGTTTTCTATTTAAGATACATAAATAATTTAGTTTATTCAGCATGAAATGGAGCTTAGTTATGTAGCAGGAGGCTGTATATTCTGCAACACTGGGACTATCAGTGAGTCAACAGTGAGTCAAAGGAGTAGCAGAGATGACAGTTGCTCTTTAAAAATTATGATTTAAATCGAGTTGATTTAAATCAAGCCTTTTTACTAGTGATTTAAATCATAATTTAAATTGTGATTTAAATCAACTCAATTTAAATCAAATCCACCCTGAAATGAATTGAATATTGGCTTGGAAGATTTAGAAAGAGAAGGACAGGGTGAGGGGATTTGCAAAATATTTAAGAGGCAGAAAGGACAATAAGATTGTACTGATCTGTGGGGGAAAAAAAGTCAGAAGTCATTTATAATACTTAGCTTTAGGGAGGGGGCTGCAGCACATTTCAGGTTTTCTTTTTCTTTCTTTTGACTTGTCTTTTATTCTACGAAGATTCTTAAATGCATTTAATTGTTTTTTTAAAAAATGAAAATCTTCATTGTATGCTGGCCATTGTCGTACGATCGTCTACAGTATTCCAAGCATTGCTCATATACGATTGGCTGTTCTTGTTTTTAATATTGGTGGCTGGGAAGAAGCGCCCAAGTTAAAAGTCACTCTGCTTAGTAAACAATGCTCTGATTGTTGCCCTCCCAGAACAGAAAACGAACCAGTCATTGAAATTCAACGCATGTTTCCTATGGAATAACCTTTGGTTGCTGTTGAATCATGCTATTCATGAGTCAAAATGGCCGAAACCCAGCCCCTTGGTACTGGCTGTAGAATTATATTCCCCTTAAAAATCCTCCTTTTCTTACAACACTGGGGGGAAAAGACACTGTACTAACAAAATCTGATCAGAACTTTAACTTGAAGAAGTATAATGGAAGTTTAACTGAATTTAAGCATGTAGGGAGGAAGTTAGCACCCACCCCTCTCCTAGGAAAATGAGGTATTTTAGGAAATATTAAAAGGGCAGAATATTTCCCCTAAAAGGGAAGCAAAAACTCAGCCCCCCGCTGAGTCAATGGGCCATTAAGGCCTGGGCCAGTCTATTCTACACGATAAAGATCTACCTCCTTCAGACAGAGCCATAATAGGAATCCCAAAGCCCTTTCATTACATCATCACCCAGCAAGAGTCAACCAAACTTGGGACTCAAAAACACAACCTATAGAGTTATCCCTGCATGGCCCCGTGGGAGTCTGACAACCAATCAGAATACAAGCTCAAATTCAAAAGCCCAAAGAGGGTATAAAACTCAGGCACTCTCAGCATCTCTTCCTTTTTTTCTCCCTTCACCAGTGGTGGGTTCCTCCCGGTTCGGTCCGGTTCGGCCAAGCCGGTAGCGGTGATGATATGACGTCACCGAACCGGTTCTCCCCCCCGCCCTCCCCCCCACGTTATTCTTACCTTTTATTTGGTCCCACCCCCAATCTATTGCTGCCTCCTGAGTCCCAGCTGATGACTGGAGAGAAAAAAACTGTTTAAACTCTTGCCGTGGGGCTTCAAAGGGCCGTCCTACAGCTGATCAGTGTTAAAAGCAAACAAATGAGTCGGGTCGTAAATGCGAGGACTGGTCGTAAGTGCGAGGACCTTCCAGAAATGACTCTGACCAGCTAGCCATGCCCACCTAGTCACATGACCTCCAAGCCACACCCACAAAATAAGCCACGCCCACAGAACCGGTAGTAAAAAAATTTAGAACCTACCCCTGCCCTTTAACCAACATCAAGCTTCAAGGTGTTGGTGATCACCTTTAAAGCGCTCCATGGCTTAGGGCCGGGGTACTTACGGGACCGCCTTCTGCCACCAACTGCCTCCCACTGGCCAGTTCGCTCCCACAGAGAGGGCCTCCTCAGGGTGCCGTCGGCCAGACAATGTCGGCTGGCGACCCCCAGGGGGAGAGCCTTCTCTGTGGTGGCACCTACCCTCTGGAACAATCTACCCCCAGAGATACGAGTGATCTCCGACCTCCGGACTTTTCGTCGGGCCCTAAAAACCTATTTTTTTCAGTTAGCCGGGCTGTCCTGATTTTACGGTTGGTTTTAAAATTTGATATGGATTTTAATCGAAAAGTTTTAAATTACGGGCCAAATTTATTTAATTATTTTAAATCTATTTTTAACTTTTGTGTATAAATGTTTTTTATCTTGGCTGTTCACCGCCCTGAGTCCGAAAGGAGAAGGGCGGTATAGAAATCTGAAAAATAAAAATAAATAAAATAAACATCTTCAAGGCATGTGATCCTGTCCATCATTAAAAACTATCTTTCCAAGCAGCCACCATGTTTCCAGTGTCTTTCTCCCCACTTGGAACTCAGAAGGACATTTCTTCCAACAAGCAAGAAATGCTTTCCCTGCATATTATAAACTCATGCAGCAAAGCAAAGAGTAAAGTTTCTAAAGTTTGTGTTCATAAACACTATAAATCAGTTGGATTACAATGAAGGGGGGAAGTCAGAAACCAGATACTGATCTATGCTATTTTTAGTAGTTATTCTTCTCTCTCTATTTTAACTTGTTTTTCCCCCTTTCTTCTTTTTTTAGCATTTATAAATAGCAACGCAAGAGAGATTTTGGCTTTATGTTCCAAGTTTGATAGGCCGTAACAATGCACTTATCTAGCGTGATCGATCTTTGATTAACGTTATATTGAGCATTAATTTTTGTCTTTTCAAAAAGACAAAGGAAGCATGTTTCTAGATCGTATGGAATTGACCATATGCTTGAATTTAGCATAATTAAACTCCTCAAGTGGATCTGGTACTTTTATTCCCTCCTTTTAAAATGTCCAACTGGGTTCAGTTCCAAGTGGGGAAAAAGACACTGGAAACATGCTGTCTGATTGGAAAGATGGTTTAATGGTGGACAGGACCACATGGTTTTGAGGTCCTGGGCAGAAAAGCACATGGTTGAAAGGGAGAGAGAGAGAGGGAGAGAGAGAGGGAGGGAGAGGGAGGGAAAGAGGGGGGGAGGGAGGGAGAGAGAGATTTATACCGTCTGTTGGGCTTT